GGGCCTGTTCAATGCAGATGGATGTATCCCTTTGAGAGGTAATATTATAAGTTTGATGTAATATTTTATTTTATTTGAATGTTCTTGGCTAACATGACATTATGTAGGACAATTGGCAAATGCAAATAATTTGTTAAGCAAAGGAATAGGATTGAAGGATCTATATGCGAAGCCTATCTTGCAAAGGAAACTGCACATTTTTGTTCTTATTATTTTGAGAGTAACGTGCCATGTTCTAGGAATAGGCCCAATAGGCACACGGTCGAATGTGTGAATGATCCATTATATCCACCAATGTTCATATTCAATCAACCAGGCCGATGTTCTAAGGATGTTAAAAAGAGAAGTTTGAGTGATATGGAGTACAAGTCGGCTACACATGTGTTGCTAAATTATCCCAAAGTTGTACCATTTCTCAAGTAAGTATTGATTTATTAGTTATCAAAATATAAAATTTACTATGATTACATATTGATGCAACTACTAAAAATATTTGATGTGTCCCAGTCACTTCGTTGGTCAATTTGGCCATGATGTTGTATATACAAGATTTGATACGTGGTTCAAACAGTTTGTAAGTTTATCCTGATAATGTTCTAACACTATGTAGGTAAGTAATGTTTGTAAGTTATGCTAACTTATGAATTTTTTAATACTATGTAGGTAAATAATCCAAATAATGGTGTAAATCAATTTTGAAAGATATATCTTGGGGACTTGGGTTTCAGGTCACAACAATGTCTAAGTACGTAGTGAATGGTTATAAGTTTCATACAGAGGATTGCTCTAAAAATAAAAATAGCAACAACAACGGGGTGTGGGTTCGAGGTGGTGATGACAACCAAGTTGGAGATATTGATTATTATGGTGTGGTCAAAGAAATAATAGAACTAGAATATACATGTTGGCCATATAAGAAATTGATACTCTTTAGATGCAAGTGGTTTGACCCAAATCCAACAAGAGGTACAAGAGTACACAACCTATACAACAAAATTGAGGTTAATCATACGAGGGAGTATGATCGCTACGATCCTTTTATAATTACACATAACGTTAGGCAAGTGTTATGCTCCTTATCCATTGCGACGGAATAAGTCTGATTGGTGGGTTGTAATAAAAACTAAGCCTGTAGGTAGGGTGGAAGTCGAGAATGTGTTAGATGTTGCATATCAAAATAATATCTCCAGTGTTCACCAAATAGTGGACGGTCAGTTAAAAAATTATTTGGAACATCCTGAATGCATATTGGAAGAAGTTGATATAAATGAAGTAACAATTATAGAAAATGAGGACGAAGAATCAATTGATGAAGCTCAAACAAGTCAAGGCGAAGAGACGAGGAACAATACGTCGATGAGGATTAAAAAGTTGGTTTTTTAAAGCACTCTCGTTTTATAGCTAGTTTCTTATATGTTTCAATCTAAATATGTATTATATTGAGCAGATGGCAGGCAAGGATCAAGGTAACAATGACCCTACTAGTTCTCGGGGTCGAGAAAAGGCTAGGAAGGGAAAGAGGAGGGTAGATAATAATACTCTCTCTTTTTCACCCTCTTTAGAGATGCCTATGTCTTATCTTCCACCACATGGCTGTACTGAGCTGCCACAGCATCACGAGCCCTACATCTTCATCCAGACACCAGGTCTTTCATCACAGGGCCATAAGACTATATGTCCGACTTAGAGTCCAGCTGCCTCACGACCTCGTGCATCGCAGCCATCTATATCACATCCCTACATATCACAGCGACATAGATTGCATCCATTCATGTCACAGCCACTCGGGTCACAACCATCAGTATCACTGCCACTTGGGTCACATCCAGCTATGTCGCAGTCATAGGGATCACAACCATCTTCATCAGCGACTCCATCCATTTCAGGCATTCACCTGCCAGGCAGTAGCTCTGACCCCCCTACACCGTCCACACATGCCTCTAATACACATGCTTCGGACGATGATGACGAGGAAGTGAATTATGATCAATATGGCAGGATCATCATAGTCCCTGAGGGTGATGGGTAAGAGTTATTTGTTATTTTTGTGTCTATTATTTTGTAACAGTTTTACTAAGATATTAATATATTTTTATTGTTAAATTGCAGGTTCAAGCCGAGTAATAAGACTACGAGGATAATCACCAATGCCATTAGAAAGCTTTATGATGGCCCTTATGCGACTTGGACTGATTTCCCGTTCTCGCTGAAGGAGCAAATTTTCAATCAATTTAAGGTATAAATGTTCTTTTAAGCAGTTTAATAATTTATATATATGATGTTTCCATCTAATATTTAACTTTTGAAATACAGAGAAAGTGTGCATGGGAAGACCGCTATAGCGCGGAAGTGGCTGCAAATTTTCATCATAAAGCTCGCAAGAGATTGGCGGATGCTTTCTTCGTTGCTAGAAAGAAGAAAAAGAGGCCTGACTGGTTACTTCAGAATTTATGGGATGATTTGCAAAGGCAATGACTTACTGCAGAGTTCTTAGAGAGGAGCAAAAAGGGAAAGAAAGCTCGCACATCCGAGAAGAGAGGCTCCTTGCACACTGGAGGTGCGATCAGCCTAGGGACAATAAAAAGAAGATTGGTACGTAATTGCTTAAATTATTTTACTTTTCTAAGTATATCTATTCTTTTTATTAACTAAATTAATTTATTTCCAGGAAAAGAAGTTGGGGTGTCCAATGAGCTATGATGAGCTATTCAAGGAAACGCATATTGTGAAGAAGAAGAAAGAGACAGATCAAGAAAGGTGGGTCAAGGACCGGGCCTCGACTGCATATGTAAGCTTTTAACTTTCTTTAAGTATTATAATTTACTTTTATAAGAATTTTGAAATACTGATTTAATTTAAAATAATATAGGGTCGCTACCAAAGTAACGTGGAGGAATTCATTCATAGTCATCCAGCTGGTGCATCGGGCGAGCCAACCCAACCTTCGGATGAGGATGCTGAAAGAATATGGTTGGAGTCTGTTGGCGGTCCAAAATAGGGGAAGGTATACGGGCTTCCTACTAAAAAAACCATCGCTATAAGTGTGGAATGCAAGGAATAGGGACTTCCTCGCAAGGCAAGCAACTTAATGGGGAGAGCCCCTCCGCTATGCGAGAGACAGTGACAAAGCTCACATCCGAGCTAGAAGCGACCAAGGAAAGAGAAAGGGTTAGAGATGCTCAATTCCTTGGCATGCAAGCTCAGATCAGAACTCTCCTATCTACTGGAGCTTTTCCGTTGCCCCGGTCCCGTGAGTCATAGCCAGAGGGTCAACCTCCACGTGATCGTTCCTCCGGTCCTGCTCGTGATTGTTCCTCCCGTCCTCCCCGTGATCGTTCTCCCGTCCTCGACAAGACTGTTCTCTATACCGTCTTGTAGATGAAAGTTCATCAGACAGTGATAATGATGTTGTACAAAATACCCCTTGACTTTTATATACTTTGAACTAGACAAATAGAACCAGTTTTGAACTTGTTGTAATTAGTTTTAACTTGGTCTTGGATTGTTATGTTCAATTGAACTTTAATTTGTTAGTTTTAAAGTATTTATTGAATGTTTCGTTGTTGTGTTGTTGTTGTTGTTGTTGTTGTTGTGTTGCTGTTGTGTTGTTGTTGGGGGTATTGGTATGCTGGCAGGTGGTGTAGCTACCAAAACAGGCATTTTATGCCAAAATTAAACCCAGAAAAACCGACCAAAGTTGGTCGGTATTTAATATAAAAAAAATTTAATTGCATATTACCGACCAAAGTTGGTAGGTTAATGAACAATGAATTCCCAGAGTTCAAAATTACCGACCAACTTTGGTCGGTATGTTGCCTCAGCTGTTGAGGTTAGCGGCCAAAGTTGGTCGGTAATGTTTAATATTAATTATTTTAAACAAATATATATTTTCAGCTACCGACCAAAGTTGGTCGGTTTATATTAATTTTAATAATTAATAAAAAACCATAAATTAAATACACCGACCAACTTTGATCGGTAAAATTAAATTAATAAAATATGTTTCCGACCAAAGTTGGTCGGTAAATCATTTAAATTAGTCAGATGGTCGTTTTAAGCTACCGACCAATGTTGATCGGTAATTTCCGACCAACATTGGTCGGTAATCCATTCCGACCATCAAAATACCGTCCAAGCGTATATGGCCGTGTTTTGGTCGGTAATTGACCATAATCGACCAAAGTTGGTCGGTATTTAGCAAATTTCTAGTATAGAGAGAGAGAGAGAGAGAGAGAGAGAGAGAGAGAGAGAGAGAGAGAGGGGGAGAGGCGAAGTTTATATGTATTTTTAATGGTAGACGATTTTATGTTTTATATATAAATCTGAGTCTTCTTCTTCTTCTTTATTGTATGTATCTACACTATATTTTATTGGATGAGAGAGAAAATACAGTCTGTTGGGCAAGAGCATACAGCCTATCGTGACTGTATGCGTTAATACAATAAAATCTAAGTCGTCGTCTTCTTCTTCTTCTTCTTTTCTTCTTCTTCTTCTTCTTTATATGTATCTAACTGTATTTCGTTGTATGATTGAGAAAATACAGTCTGTTGAGTGAACACATACAACCTAATGTGACTATATGCGTTGATACAACAAAATTGAGCGAATACATACAACATATTATGATTGTATATAGCGCACCCGAATGTGTTGATACAACAAAATTAAGCGAAAGCATACAATCTATCGTCTCTGTATCCAGCACAACTCTATGCGTTGATACATCAAAATGAGAGAACGCATAAAAGTGATACAAAATTGACTAAATAAAACATTAGCTATGGACGATAATTAGGCAAACTATAATTACATATGATAATTAGGCTCTAAACTATAATATTTTATGAGTTTCCTCTTCTTTTTTTTTTTTTTCCCATGATGCTCCGGACATAATATCAACACTCAAAACTTAAAAACTCCAAAAAGGAAAAAAAGTACAAGGTCAAAAGTGTAAGAGAAGTGAAATATAATGACTGAAAGCATAAAGAGGACATATTTGCACGTTGAAGTTGTCAACCATGAAGTCTTTTGAGTAGAAAAAGAAGTTTGTCCAAAAGTACCAGATCTATAGGCAAAAAGTAACCATCTTTTAAGCGTATTTTAGGGGCAAGTCTACATTTGACTCTTTTCACTATAGTAGAACCGTAGAGATCTCCAAATATCTACCAGTTCGTAACCCGATTTGCTTCCGCGGCTGCTCCCTTCTGCTCCGGCGCTCGCCACTTAAATGTATTACGGTAAACTGTTTGATCATAGAACCGCAATTTCTTTTGGTTGAGAATTGTTTTATTTTTTGTCTTGATAAAAAAAAGTTTGGATTTTAATTTTGTTTTTAGCTTGATTTAACTTAAAATTTGGGTTTGGATAATTTTTGTTGCATTATTCCATAAGGCCGAGCTTCATCATTCAATCAACTATGTCTAAATGTTAAAGCTAGTTGTGATTGTTTTCATGAATCTTATACTCGGGCTCCTTTTATTTTAATGCTAACAATTTGTTTTACTGAGGCGTAGCTTGATGCTAGGTCCTAAACAGTTGACTTGAACTGAGCTGGCTAAGGTTTAGGCTTGGGTCAGCTTGTGTGTATTGCGGCAGCTCTGAAAATGAAGTAGAGGTTCTGCTAAAGATTTTACAGCTCAGTGTAATACAAACCACTTATAAGACTTGTTTTTACTTTCTCCAAAGATTATAGGTTCAAACTTTAGTAAGCAAAAAAAAAAAGTTTAAGGTCCTTATTACTTGCTGTAAAGATTGGGAGAGAGTGGAAATTTCTGGCTGGAAAAAAACTTACCATCACCAGATGTTTGCAACAATCGTAAATGAATGACATGTGCGACTGTGCATCTTGACTCTTTCTAATCGCTAATTACAAATATAATTAGTTAATTATATGTATGCTCACCCTGTTTAGTAATTGATGCTCGTCTTAGAGTTAGTACAAGCACTCATCGAACAATGTGTCTTCACCTTTTTCTTTTGACATTTTTATGGCAAACAATATAATTTTCACCTTGAGGTTTGGTTTTAGGAAAGTAGACATTGTCGGAATGATATCTTAATATGTGTTTACCTTGCATAGGACATGTAACATGTCAACCCTTGATTTTATCTTGTTAATCATGTTCTGATAATAGACTAAATGCTTTTGTGCAGGTTGTAGCTCTTCACAAGTGTCAGCTTTTACCTAAAAAATTGCAAGATCAAGGTATAGCGTATTAGAAGTTTTCTGTGAGGGGTAACTAAATAAGAAAACGGTTATAACTCGTCTATCTATTTACAAGGTTCTTCTGTTGCCTAACTGCTCGATCAATGTTCACCTCTAAAAATCCTAAAAGAGAATAGCTAAATAAAATCAGCTATTACTCATTTCTTCTTAAAGAATCTGAAAATAAAGCTTGCTGTTGAGATTGGAAGCTCATACTTGGCTGCTGTTCCATGGTTAATAAGTCTCCTTCCTGAGTGAATGTTAAGTTAAGTGATTAAAAATGGATAGGGATTTTGGAAAAGGGATGATGGGAGAGCAAAATAACTTTGAACAAGCTCGTTATAGCTCTATAGAGACTAGAACAGAGGTCACTGGCTCTTCAAACCAGAGATTTTTCCAGGATTCATGCAGTTCTATTAGTACAGACATAAGACCACCTGATTTCATTGTACCAGTTGGAGCTAGACCTGTAAACTATTCCATTCAGACTGGCGAAGAGTTTGCTTTGGAATTTATGCGGGAAAGAGTTAACCCAAAGCAGAACATCATTCCTCATGGTTCTGGGGGGACTACTGGAATTTCTCATACAGGTTCTGAAAGTGGATCAGATATTTCCATGATTGCCTCAGTTGAAAAAACTCGAGTTCAACATCACCAGAGGTCTAGTACTTCTATAAATGAAGAGATAAGCAACCACCAAGCTGTGCAAACTGGAACTAGAGCCTCATCAAGAAATAACAACGTCCATGGGATTCAAATCCATATGTATTCTAGATCTAGTACATCAACAAAGTTGAAGTTTCTGTGCAGTTTTGGTGGTAGAATTATCCCTCGTCCAAGTGATGGGAAACTTAGATATGTTGGAGGTGATACGCACCTCGTCCGTGTAAGCAAGGATATTTCTTGGGAGGAACTCAGGCAAAAGATGTTGACAATATTTAACAATTGTCACACAGTAAAATATCAGCTTCCTGGTGAGGATCTTGATGCATTAGTGTCAGTTTCTTGTGATGAAGACTTGCAGAATATGATAGAGGAATGTAATGTATTAGAAGGTGACGGATCACAAAAATTCCGGATATTTCTCTTTTCTAACAGTGACTTGGAAGATTCTCTTGTTGGTCTGGAAAATATTGAAGGAGATTCAGAGATGCAGTACGTTATTGCTGTCAATGGCATGGACTTTGGTTCAAGAAGAAAGTCTGTTGCCCTGGCCAGCACTTCAGAAAATAACCTGGATGAGTTTCTGAGCGCAACAATTGCTGGGGTGAATGGTCAAGTTGCTAGGGATCTAGCAGAGGCTGATACTTCTGATCCAGTCATTGGCATGCCTCTAACAAATCAATCTGCTCATGTAGGGGTAGGGGTGTCAATTTCATCACATACCTTCGACTCCAATCAACCAGGATACTTGGGTCAAACTGTATATCATGGTGGCACTGAATGGCAACCTTTACCTTCTTCCATACCAGTTGACAGCTTCCGAGGTGTAGATGGCGAAAACCTGGTTCTTCCATCTATGCAAGTGCGGTATAACCATGGTTATAATCCACCCAATATGCAAGTGCAGTACAACCATGGTTACCATCCACCCAACTCTTCACAAGTCACAGATAACTTTCTTGTAAGTTCGGGCCACGGTTACATGAATTTGAAAGGAGGCGTGGCTCTCGAGCAGTCTTATCAGAGCTCACATATGAATAACTATGAGACACCTGCTACAGTAGTAAATCTGAAAAGAGATAACTCTTCTCGGAAGATGTTCGAACTTAGTAAAGATCAATCCCGAGAGAAGGAAGTGCTTGAGGAGGGAAAGATAAAGCTAGAAAGCTCTTTGCAGAAAATAAATGAGCCTGAAAAAATGTGTCCTTTGGAAAGCGAAAGAGTTGTTTCCTCAAACCCTGACGATTCCACCTCAAGTCACGTTCCTAGAGTTGAAGTGTCGACCTTCACTGCTGTGGCAGTTGCTGCAAATTCTGTTACTCAATCTAAAATCAATGACAAGAGTCAGGAACAAGTGCAGAGTTCAGCGTCTCCTGAAGCTGTTCAGGAAGAAAAACTTTATAGGTTTACTGAAGATGGCTTCTCCGGATCTGGTAGAACTTCAAATGCTGGCTATGGTGACTCAGAGACACATCCACTTGACTTTAGCTACGAACAATCATCAATTCCTTCACGGCCTTTTCGTTCTGAATGGATACCCAGGGAACAGCCCGGCCTTAATCGTTTATCTAGATCTGATGATTCATCTGCTTCGCAGTTCATAATGACCCATGCGCACTCTGGGGGCACACAGCAGACCATAGAATCAGTAGATAAGTTGCACGACGGTAATGTGGCTCCCCAGTCAGAGCATGTTATATCTTCTGGAAGATCTTTGTCAGCTAATCAACGTGCTACTGCAGAGAAAGGTGTAAAATTTCAGGAATCTCTAGAGTTAAGTGTCAGTGCCACAGAAATTTATACCAAGGGTGCTGGAGAAGTTTCTGAAGCAAATCTCAATAAGCCTGAGCTGAAAGCTGCAACATATGCAGATAAAGTGAAATCTGGACTAGGTGATCATATCACAAGCAGTAATGTCCAGGCTGAGACTGCTTTTGGGCAGACAGAGCTTCATAGGGGTGATGCAGTTGCAAACAGAGCCGAGGGAAATAAAGCAGCAGAGCAAATACAGCCTTTGGCTGTGAAAGAGTGTCAGGTAGGAGCAGCTTCTACAGAGAGGCCCTCTGGCACAATTGAGCATGGGAGCATTCTTTTTGACATTAATGACCGCTTTCCCCGTGATTTTCTCGCTGATATATTTTCGAAAGCCAAACTTATGGATGCTTCACCAGTGCCTGTTCCACTACACACTGATGGAACTGGTTTGAGCTTGAATATGGAGAACCATGAACCAAAGCACTGGTCCTTTTTTCAAAAGATAGCTCAAGGTGATTTTGGTAGAAGAGATGTCTCTTTGATGGACCAGGATCATCTTAGTATGTCTTCTACCTGTGCAAATGTTGATGATGGGGTGTCTATGGATTCTGGTTATCATCCTTTCCAGCGTGATGGAGCAATGATAGATCATATGGACTCTCAGCTCAATATTGAAGCTGAGTTCCAGCAACCATCACCTGAAATTGTTGGACCAGACACCATGGATTTGCCTTCAGAGTACAAACCTTCTCAAACCACTTACGTTCAAAGTATGCAGTATGTTGGTGAATTGAGTTCAAAAATACCTGAATCGGGGTATCAGGTACTTTTTAGTAGTTGAGATTTCTAGCAGCATTATGTTGCTTCAATTTGAAATTATTGTTTTTTTAGCATATGGTGAAGTAAAATTCTTTTATGTAACATGAAGGATGATAACCAAGGAGCTCAGAATGCTGGCTTTCCCCTTACCAATCTCTCGCTTGGAGACTTTGATCCTAGCTCCTTGCAGGTACTGTGAACTATTCTATTGGTGGTTGGGTATGAGTTTAAAAGATGCCTGAGAATCAAAAAAAGCACTAAGGCTACTTTTGGATGGAAGTACTTGGAAGGGAGTGAAAGGAGACATTTCTTTTCCTTTCCTACTCTCTACATTCCTTACATCCTATACTAACAAAGTTCCTTTTAAAATAAAAGATTCTATACTTACATAGTGTATGTCGAGTCTATGAATTTTCTTTATGAAGTCAAGATATACAAAAGCTTTGAGTTTCTACTTCAAGGTCCTGAATATATCTGCACAAGTTTCAGGGGACAGCTTATAATTTTTCTGAATCGTTCCATTTTCTAAAGCTAAATATATTAAGGGAAAGGGCCAAATATACCCCTCTCCTTTCGGATATTGTCTACATTTAACCTCCGTTCTACTATCCGGACTATCCGGCCAAATTTTTCCCTACCATCAGCAAACTTTTAAAAATTACCCCTTGATCTGTTAATTAATTCAAAATCTCCCAATTTCCTTTTATTTAAATCACTTGTTCCTTTTGCTCCATTATTTTCAGAAATTACTATTGATGTGAATGCTAAAGGTATTAGATTATACAAATTATTCATGGGTCTTTTTAGTTACCAATGCACCCACTTCTCTTCTTGTGATAACGAGTTTGGAATTGATTTAAAATTTTATTTATTTTTCAACCATATGCAGTTGATCATCATGTATGTACATGTCTATTTATTGTGTATTATATGCAGCTGATCATTATTTATTAACATGTATATTCGAATATATTTTGTTATTGCCTGGTTAGTATAGAGTTCGATCGACTAACTTAAGAGTGCACAATGCGTAGGCATTTGATTAAAGCAAAGTTGAATTAGACAATGTAACGTCTCCAAGGAACTTCAACTTCTATCACTAATACTTGCAAATCTTCATACCTTGGTGCAACGAATTCATTAAAGCCGGGGTGTTGTAAATACTTTTGGAATTAGACAAGCTACCTACTTTACATTCTTTAATTTGCTATACTTTGTTTACTAACCGTTGTATTATTTTTACTATTTCTTTCTCTTATTTTTTCCCAATTAAGAAAGTAGGTAAATGCCAATTATTTCGAATATAATGGATTATGGGTCACCTAACGAACTGAGGGGTAATTTTTAAAAGTTTGCTGATGGTAGGGATAAATTTGGCCGGATAGTATAATAGAGGTTAAAAGTAGACAATATACGAAAGTAGAGGGATATCTTTGGCCCTTTTCCCAATATTAAATAGAGACAGGTTTTGTAATTCTTCTTGATGTTCTGGACTTTGGTACAGATTTTTCTTAGGCCATCCACGCCATATACGCATCAGTCTATATTCTGTCTTATTGATATTGCCAAGTACTAGCCCCTGTACGGCTGTACCTGGGAGAGGGCTCTGACATCACTTTTCCTTTCGCCAGTGACATATGATGTAGTAGGTTTTCTTATCCGTGCTTTCATTTTCTTAAGCAATAAAGGTAGTTCTAGTCGAGCCTTATTTTAGTGTAAAAGCAGCCTTTTCCGAAATTTCAAGAGAAAAGGTAGTATTTTTAACCTTGCTTTCATTTTCTTAAGCAATAAAGGTAGCTTTAATCAAGCTTCATTTTAGTGTAGTCATTATTGCTTTAAGTTTTGTTCTTTTCTCTTTTTCAATGTGTGTGCCTCCGGGGGGGTTGGTCGGTGAGGAGAGGACTTTTCGTTCATATTTGTTACAGAATGTATATCGACTTCTCTCCTTGTATTGTACATAACCATATATAGGTAGCATATCCTTAGGATTCCTTCTTTATTTCTTTCCATTGTTAGCTCCTAATGTACTGTATTTTTAACCATATATAGGTACAATATTGTTGGCTTTTCGTTCTGCATCTGGCTTGCATATTGAGAGTGTTTGCTACTTTCTATTAGTCTTTTCTCATACATCGATTATAGTCAATTGTACATCCCTTCTACTTAGGGTTTTAATGGGTATTTGCAACTCTTCTTTCTGTCAATCTTTGTTGTTAACTTTTTTATTGCATTATAGATTATCACTAATGAAGATCTTGAAGAGTTAAAGGAATTGGGTTCTGGAACATTTGGGACCGTATATCATGGAAAATGGAGAGGGACTGACGTTGCCATCAAGAGAATAAAAAAAAGCTGTTTCACAGGTCGCTCATCAGAGCAGGAGAGATTGGTGAGCGTCTTAAAGTAATAGAGTATTTTATTTCTGCTGCAATATGAGTAACAAATGTGCAGTTTCCAGTCGATGGTCATCTTGAACTGCAAAATATGTAAAAATTAAACTAACAGTAGCTAAAAGAGTTATACAACCATGTTATTGTTTTTTTGAGAAGGAAATCCATGTTATTTTTTGTGCTGTCTATATCTCTATATCATGGTAGAAGCTGTGAAGTGTTTTCTTCTTGGATCTTGGTTTATGAGATTTAGCGTAGATTGTACACCCAATTGATAATTTGTATCATTATTCATTACAAGTTACTGTATACATACTTGAAATGGCTTTTATTGCAGTACAGAGACAGGGAGTGAGTTCCATTGTAGTCTAGAATTTTATAAAATTTAGAACTCGTAGAAGCATTTAAGTACATAAATTGGTCATGCTTCTGCTTTCTTTGCACTAGCTATTTCATGATAGAACTTGGGAACTATTTCCAGACTGTGGAGTTTTGGCGTGAAGCTGAAATTCTTTCAAAACTACATCATCCCAATGTGGTGGCATTTTATGGTGTTGTGCAAGATGGGCCAGGGGGGACTCTTGCCACAGTAGCAGAATTCATGGTGAATGGTTCTCTTAGACATGTTTTACTTTGCAAGGACAGGTGCTGTAATACTGGATAGTACACTTCTTAAACTATTCGTTTCGTTTTCCTTTTTCTCTAGAAAACTTATTATGTTCTCCTCCCTCGAACTGTCCAGATACCTTGATCGTCGCAAGAGGCTCATAATTGCAATGGATGCTGCATTTGGAATGGAATATTTGCACTCAAAGAATATTGTGCATTTTGATCTGAAATGTGACAATTTGCTTGTCAACTTGAAGGATCCTTCTCGACCCATTTGTAAGGTGACTTCAAGAATGTGCTGTGCTTTTGAAATTTTTTTCAATGGGTGCTGCATTTGCAAGAATTTGCTGGTTTTGATCTGAAATGCGACAATGTGCTTTGTCTTTCTATACCATACAAGTCTGACAATCATAATCAGCTTATTAGCCAATATATTAGTAATGCCCTTTGAGAGGAAATAGATCTAAAACATGTATAATGCGGTTAATCCCGCCGTGATCCAAGCTATTATTGAGAAAATTCTTGATACAACCATCTGTAGACCAATAACAAGCAATAGGTGGAATACCACAAGAGGACTTGTACCTATAAAAGTGTGATTTTCGTAATCGTTACATATTTTCGAAATATAAGGTTGTATTTTCCGGATTACTAGCTTAAAATGATAATGCATAAACATGGTTTCCTATCCCAAACTGTAAACAACTTCTTCACTCACTTCGATAACCACTCATTACACTAAGTTACAAGTTTAATGTGACAATTAATTCTTCGTCAAGTAAAGGACAACAAAGATGTTATGTGGGGAACAACCCAAAGCTAAAGAAAATCGTATTCTGTATAGGTGGCTGATTTTGGACTGTCAAAAATAAAGAGAAATACCTTGGTTACTGGTGGTGTCAGGGGAACGCTTCCTTGGATGGCTCCAGAACTATTGAATGGTGGCAGTAACAAGGTTTCTGAGAAGGTAAGCTATCAATTCCTATTTTTGATATTAACCTCTTCACATGTGAATTAGTCTATTTCAGACATCATTTTTCACTTCGTGTGGGGTATAGCGAAGAAGCATACTTAATGCTTATCAACTCAACCTGCTGTTATTAATTTTTGCCAACTTCAAGAATCTGATGGATTGTGTGGTCTCTTTGTTTCATTAGTTTTGCGCTTAAACTTCTGCATTCAATAGCCTCTGTTTTCTTGCAACAGTTCCTTCTAATTTTTCCTTTGAAATGTTGTTTGACCAAAACTTTATCAGCAGGAATTTCACTTTTTAGATAGAAAGACCCATGAGAAAAGTGACGCACTAGTTTCCATTCGTAGTGACAAATCAAAGTTTTGCAGGTCGATGTCTTCTCCTTTGGGATTGTGCTGTGGGAAATCCTTACTGGCGAGGAACCTTATGCTAATATGCACTATGGAGCAATTATAGGTTTGCTTATTGCACTTTGTGCTTCCATTTGCTGCCTGCATCTGACAATAAAATTACTCGTTATATCCTATATTTCCTGCTAAGTGACGCCTTAATGAAGGATAAAGGCAGGAGCGTTAAGAGTCCAGTCTAAAAGTAGGCAACAGAAGGTTTTTCCTTCACTGGAAAGTAAAAGCACAACATTTATAGACATATTTAGTCAATTCAGGCGCTTCCAATTTTTATCCTTTAATTTCTGAAGTCCGCTACACTTAAAAAAAAAAATCAATATCTAGAACTTTGTGATCAAAACTTTGGTCTTCTCAAGTTAATAAGATTTTTTTTAAATCTTAAAACTATATCTGCAAGGGCATTCCATAAGTGGCAATATTAAAAAAGATATTGCCGACTAGTTTAATGCTTGTTCCTATTCCCTCTAATCTCTTACTTAGGAAGTCACTTAGAATGTCAGGTGCAACTTGAACATACAAGAAAATACTTGGTATTGGAACTGAGAATTGAAATGCACCGAAAAGACAAATTATATAGTATTGAAGTGAAATGGGCTCGAATAGGCGAAGATTATATAGAGGATTCTTACAGCTGACCCCAGCTATATTTAGGATTGAAGTGAAGTTGATTGATTGATAGACATCTAGAATAAAGCACCACTCCCGTCAACCCTACTTAATCTTCATTCCTTTTAATTCTCTCTTTGTTTTTTTTTTTCCGTTGTGTTCCACTCATTCTCACGCAGAATCCCTTGGCTGTGTCCTTCCCTGTAGTTTCTACTAGTTCTAAGCTGGGTAGAAATATAAAGAAATTGTGTGATCGATCTAACGTAAAAGCTGAAAGCTATACAAACCACAGATGCAGTTTGGAAATTAATGCAGTCTTGTATTCTTCTTTAAAGCTGGCTTGTATCGTTTGTACTGTATGCAGGTGGTATTGTAAGCAACACATTGAGACCGCCTGTGCCAAGCTTCTGTGACAGTGAGTGGAGAATGCTTATGGAACAATGTTGGGCTCCGGATCCTGCCATCCGCCCATCTTTCAGTGAAATTGCTAGACGCTTACGTGCCATGGCTGCTGCCTGTCCAACAAGACCACAAGCTCATCCAACCCAAAATAAGCAACCAAAGTGATGGTATGGCTCTTCTTTCCTGGTATCTGTGGCGGAAGTTTCTTATGAGTAGTTTCTAAGTATAGTCTGCTTATTCTGCAACATTGGAGTGAGGAGAGTGGTCTCCTTCAGGGTGTGAAAAAACTAATGAACGATAGATTATATATATTCCCGTTAAAAACATGAAAATCTTGTTACATATTGCAATTTGTAAAGCATCATTTGTATCTATGATAAATGGAAATGTAGCTTTGGCCTCAGAAATGTTTGGTGATATTACAAGTTTAAGTGATTTTACTTTGCCTCTACAGTGAAACCTCTCTATAACAGTCTTGTTTGTTCCGAATATTTTTGGATGTTATTGCGAAGTGCTGTTATAGAGAACATATATTATAACATAACATGAAAATTGGTTCCGGAAAAGCTTGACTTTTATAGTGAAGTGTTTTTATATAGGGATGTTCTTATAGAGAGGTCTGATTGTATTTGGAGTTTGCTTCGTTTGGCAACTAGAGAAGGGGAGTGGATAGGAGGCAAGAAAAAAATTATTCCTTTTTTTTTTTTCTGTTATACAAAATACAAAAGAAAATCAGAAAAAGGAAAAGAGCAAATAGATCTTCTCCTAACTTTTTCTCCATTATTCTGAAAATTTACAAGGAAAACTATGGAAATTCTTTTCGGTAATAAAGTATATTCATTGCTTATCATCTTGCATAAGCAAATTAGGAGAAGGTTATATTCGCTAGTTCACAATGCAAGTGGAAGTCTACAGGAGATTATTTGAATTAGGAAACTGGCTGTCTTTATTTTCCCATTTAGGCAATTATATTTTACTTAGTATTTTCAAAGTCAGCAATGTTAAAATTTAGTCTAAAACTTTTTTTTAAAAAAAAAAAAGTCAAACTTTTTGAAGACGTATTTTGTTTTTTCAACTTGTACGTTTAATGCAACCAGTTGAACATATATATCTGCGGCATCCATCTTTGGAGAAGCATTAACAAAACAGTTACTATTACCGGTGAAATTAAAAAATAATCAGATTTACAAGTGGTAATTGAAAAATAGTCATAGTTTCAAAAGTAATCGAAATTTAGCCACTTTTCATGTAAAGGTAAATTTGAACGAAGATGCTGTTCAAAATCCGGAAAATATTCCAGCATAATATATTGGAGTTCCAGTATAGTATACTAGATTTCCAGCATAATATACTGGAGTTCCAGTATAATATACTAATCTTTCCTATTTTGCCGCGACACGGAAAGTTCCAGCATAATATACTGAAGATTAGAGCACCTGTGCATGAACTTCCAGCATATGGAACTTTTCGTGTGTTGGAGTTCCAGCATAATATGATGAAAGTTCATGCACAGGTGCTCCAATCTCCAGTATATTATGCTGGAACTTTCTGTGTTGCAGCAAAATAGGAAGGATTAGCCTTAACATACCTTTGTCGTTTGCTTAACCTCACGGCTTTGGTTCAACCCGTTAGTACTTCAATCTACAACAAATGATAAGGGAGCACTGTTAAGCTTACAGAAGCTAAAATTCAACACAAATAAACGACTAGCTCGTCTACGAGTATTTGGACAACACCTCCCCTCATTTTTTCCTTTTTTTCAAATCAAACAACAAGACCAACATGTCCAAAATATCAACAAACATATTACATCAATATCCAACTATATCCATCGCAATACATCACCAAAACAGTCCACACAATCTCACACAACAACCAAGTGCTACTTTGAGCTCTTCCGTGTTGCAGCAAAATAGTGGCTATTTTTCAATTTCAAGTAATATTTCTCTTTTTCCACTTATTCAAACACAATAAAATCTTTAACCACTTGAAGCAAACTTTCATTGTTGAGTTACAATCTACCACACCTGAACGTATTATAAGAAGATATCATGAAAAAAGTTATATACATATTTGATAATCCGTTGATGCGTGAGATCAGATGCCCAAGGTCTGAACAAAATCCATAATATTTCGAATTGATCGTCTAATAAATTTACACATAGAAGATCTGTCCAACATTCAAGAGGCTCTCATGAGGTATATTGAAGATGACACTATTTTCCCTGCATATTTTCCTAAGAAATGCATATATATAGTCTATAGCTAGTTTCTTATAAAACCTGGATTCCCTTCTTGCTCTTATTACAGTGTTCCCAAGTATGTGTACAACCCCAGCATCTCTACAACTATTTAAGAATTCCATCTCATCAACTTCTGTCTGTCCGCTCTCATGTCCGGAGGATGTGATTGTGTTGTTTCCGTGAGGATGAGATTTGACAGGGGCTATTGAGTCCATTGATGAATAACTGAGCTCAATATTTGCAGTAGAAGAGCTCCCGTTATCTCTCGAATGTTGTGTTTGCTGTCCGTATAAGCTGTATTCATCAGAGTCAGAGCAGCCATCCATCATGGACTCCAGTCGGACAAACATAAAGAGGTTATCGAAGAGCTTTTTCTCAAAGTCTTCATCCTTCTTATGGAGGTCTTTGTAACCATATCTTGCAACACAGCGAAACATGTGAAAATTCTTTGGTCCTATCCGTTTCACAAGGAATCTCTCATCTTCTGGAACTGTGTAAACAGGAAGATACTTTACGCAGACAAATACCATAACTGAGTGTATAGCAGGTAGGTTGGTAATGAAGTGAGAAAAGATGTGTGGCACTCCACTAGCTAGTTCGGTGTACACAAGTCCGATTCCTGGCACACGTACCAATCCTAAACTGGGGCCAAGTCCAAGAATCCATGCCATAGATACCTTGCTGTGCATCTCAAATTCGTAACGTTTCACCGTTCCATAATGCCATACATACATGATGAGAAGAAAAGCTGCAGCAATCACAAGAGGAACCCAACCACCCTGGTCAAGCTTAAACAATACTGCAGAGAAGTAGGTACATTCAACCACCAGAGATAAGACAGTGAAGATAAGAACAACAACCCAATGGCAGTGCCAAACTAGTAACATTATCAAAGTCATGAGGAGTGTCGTCACCAGCATGACTATCACGACCGCTGTTCCTGTTGATCAAGAAATTCCATGTCAACAAGTGAGTTTCAAGATGAGGCTCTCGTATGGTATCAACAGTAAATAAATACAAAAACCAAACGCAAGGAAGAAAATTCAAAGCATGGCTAAACATGAGATGATGGAAAATGGTTGAGTACATCTTCTGGTTTGAGACAACTTTAAACTAATGCAAATGCAAAAGAAAAAATAGAGCATAAACAACTAGTAAGGACATTTAAGGAAGACGACAAACAGAAAGGGAAATTTAATCTTATCAGGACTTATATCTGTCATTGCATATGTAAAAGGTCAAACGGAATCAAGATATATTATTAGCAGCAAGACACAAACTCACCGTAAGCATTGCCTATTTGGCTTTGATTTTTAAATCCAGCAGTAACGGCAATGCAAAGAACCATAAGGATCCAATTTATATCAGGAATATATATCTGCCCTAAGAACTTCTTTGATGTATGTACAACCTTGACTCTCGGAAAACAGCCAAGTGCTAGAGCTTGCTTGATTATGGAAAACGTTGCAGATATGGTAGCTTGACTTGCAACAATAGCAGCTAGAGTTGCAATCACAAAAACTGGCCAGTATATGCTTTCTGCATTATGAAAAATGTCAGGTACATTATAACTTGTAATTGATGTCACCTTTATTACTAACATATCCTCCATTCTATTTTCTTCAAAGGAGGACTGGAAATGGTAATTCCTCAGAAAGATTGTACTGATATATAATCCAATTATTAATTTTCTCCTATGTGTGAATTAGAAGACGTTTCGCTTTGTACTATTAACAGAGTAAGTTATCAAACAGTATCACAGATATATGCTCATAATATTTAAGAATTTATGTACATAATTCCAAGCCACAACCTCCGCCCCATATATAAAGATTCTGGCCTACCCAAGGCCATGAATATTAATCCTCAGAAAGCGTGTTAAATGTTAATATAAACAGGATATGCGAAACCAGCGGTAGTATTCAAGTCTTGTTACGTCGAAAAAAGAAGCATCTAAAGTCTGATACATAACTAGAAAGAAAAAATGAGGATGTCGAAATCCATATGCTCCATCATCATACCAATAAGGGTCATTAACTAACTCAACTACCAATCATCAAAAGCAAACTCTGAAGGAGCAAGGCACACTGAGGAATCTCTTTAACATAGTTCCTTCAATAAGCCATAAATTCTGGGGCCTAAGGCACAGCTCAAGACTGCCTCTCTTAATTTCCATTATAAGAGATAAGGTTCAGTCTAGAAAAGTGTGCTTCTTTGTGCGTTTGGCAGCTAGGTAAGTGATACTGACAGCGGAGAATCTGAGGAAGAGAAGGATCATATAAGTCAACTGGTGCTATGTGTAGATGTTGGGGAGAAGATGTGGATCATCTCTTATTATATTGTCCAGTTGCTATTCACCTGTTGTGGGAAGTTCTGAATTGGTTTAGATACAAGTGGTTTATGCCAAGTTCAGTAAAGGAGGCCTTGCATAGCTGAAAGTTCAAAAGCAGAAAGAGAAGACCCAAAGCATGGGATGTTGCCCAACTAGCTCTTATGTGGGTTGTGTGGAGGGAGAGGAATAGGAGAGCGTTTGAAGGGATCGACAGTGATTTTGCACATGTGAGGAGTTGCCTCTTGTCTCTAGTTTCTTTTTAGTGCACCCATGAGGTCCTTGTTTGTATAGATGAGTGGGCGAATTTTACAGAGAAAATTATTTTGGTGTAGGTTTCTCTACTTTTTGGTATCCTTCTTGTATACGGGTATTTCCCACTTAATAAAATTATGACCTTATCAAAAAAGAGGAAGGGGGCGTAACTGGTAAAGTTGCTGCCATGTGACCAGGAGGTCACGAGTTCGAGCCGTGGAAACAACCTCTTGTAGAAATGCAAGGTAAGGCTGCGTAAAATAAACGCTTGTGGTCAAGCCCTTCCCCGGACCCCGCGCATAGCGGGAGCTTAATGCACCGGGTTGCCCCTTTTTTTACCCTTCTTCGGCCTTAAGAGAGATAGAGCTTGGGGGAAAAAGAATTGGGGAGAGGTGATTAGGCAAGACATGACGCAGCTATAGCTGATCGAGGACATGACCCTTGATAGGAAGGTGTAGAGGTCGAGGATTATGGTAGTAGGTTAGGTAGTCTAGATTATTCATACCGGTAGTATTTGTACGTACTCTCGCATTCTGTTGGTATTAGGTTTCTTTGACTACCTATCGTTTCTTGCACTTCGATCATCTTACTATCTTTTTGTTATTTATGCTGCTTTTACATGGCTT